GTGGAGTGCTGTGGCCGTAATGGAAACTAATAAATAAAGCATCGCAGGATAGAATTAATTGCCTGAAATAATTTTAAAGCTGTAGTGAAAGACCTTGTCTTTACCAGTGGCATTATTGTCCCTAATCAGGGGGCCTCTAGACTTTGGAAACCTCATGGACCCCTGACTCATTGCTCCCTTGTGCACTTCTGCAACCTCTCTTATTTCTACTTATGTTGTGGCCATGCTCACTCTACTCCTGAATTCCACCCCTGAATTTCAGCAGTGACCTATAGCAGGCTTCTTAACTTCCTTCCAATCTACCTCCACCCAATGGCTTTCAGAAGGAGGCTTGGACATGTGGATCTTGAGTAGGGGGTCACTGGAATTTTTTTTAAACTTCAAAGTGATTCTGATGTGTACCTCTAGGTGGGAAAAAGGGCTTTAGCTGTTGCCATGGTAATGTTCTACACAACAACCCGTTATATCACTCTCCTGCCCAGAACGCTTTAGTTGCTACTTAGCATTTTACCAGCTCGTGCTTTTCCGCTCAGCTTGGCCTTCTTTCCTCTCACCCAGCTCCCCCCTTCTCCAGCCGTGCTCATCACTGATGCTAGAATATTCCATGTCACCCCTACCTCTATGATTTTTCTTTTGCCACCTGTAAGGAAGGATCCTGTCTTTCATGGTTCAGCTCAAGTGTCATCTCTTGGAAGTTTTCCTGACAGGTTCCCTGTTTCCTAAATTTCTACATCACGTATAGTCTACACCAAATAAATCACAGCAGGGCTTCTTATGTTAGTCTTGAAGAGCCAACTAGAAAAACCAGCTGCAGAGCGGAAGCCATGTCCTCATTATATCTTCTCTAGCACCCAACATAGTCGTTGGTATGGTGCTTCCTGCAGGAAGTCCTCCATGTCTTAGATCTGGGTTAGATGTTCCTCCTCTAATGCCTGTGACATCTCCCTGCATCCCAGTTCTATTAAAAGTGTATTGCAATCCTGAATTTTAAGTGTGTGTTTCTTTGTGTATCTCCTATAGACTGTAAACTCTGTGACAGCAGGACCCACCTTTATCTGGTTTATCGCTGACCCTCTAGCACTTAGTCCAGGTCTTGATATGTAGTATGCGTTCAATACATATTTTTCTAAGCTGATTGAATAATTAATGACTTTAAAATATGTGTTTGGTTGAGACTGAGATAAATGGACCAAATAGCATCCATAGCATCATAGCATTTTGGTTGACTTGGTTTCAGATATAATCTAAACACTGTAATAAACTAGACAGCTAACACTTGGTTATATACTCAACTATGTCATTTTCTAATTATTTTTTTTTATGCAGTTTCTTTTTTGTCTATAAAGTTCAAGCTCCCAGAGAGCAAAGGGTAGCATTTTTTACTTCTACTCCCACAGTTCCTGTCTCAGTGAGTATTTCTTAATTTGACGTCATTAGATGTAGTTTTAAAAGAACCTGTGTTGAGAACAGACCGGTGGTTGCCAGAGGGGAAAGGAATGGAGGGAATGGGTGAAATAGATGAAGGGGATAAAGAAGCATAGGACAACGAATTATAAAATAATCAGTCATGAGGATGAAAGTACAGCATAGGAAATACAATGATATTGTAATATCTTTGTATTTTGACAGACAGCAACTACACTTATCGTGGTGAACATTTAGTAATGTATGTAATTGTTCAATCACTAGGTTGTATGCCTGAAACCAATATAATATTGTCTATCCACTCTATTTCTTTTTTTTTTAAGGGAAAAAGTAAAAAAATACAAAATAAATAAAAGAGCCTGTGTTATAATGTATCTGACTGGTGCTGAACAGCTGTTGCTTCCTAACAAGTGCTACATTCATTTTAATGGTGCTGGTGCACAGAGGTAAACAGAGCTTTGGCAGGACTTCCATAAAGGAAACTGTGTTTGCTTCCTTCATTAATTGCTAATGGAGCATTAGGACATGCATTCTCTCTTAAGCCAAGTTGGATAATTCCTGGCACTCGAGGCTAGGGTGCTTTCAAAAGTTGAGACATGTATTGACACACATAGTTGTGGCTATATTGCCAAGACTGTACAAAGCTTCAAATCTATCAATACCATGTGTACGGATCTGTCTGTTTAACCTTTTGCAGGTCTTGGACTAATGTGGGGTAATAAATATGAATTGCTAGACTATCTTTGAAGGTAGCACCACAGTATAAATTGAGAGAACCCTCAGAGAGGGACAGAAGGGCTAAAAGTAAAAGGATGATTGAAGACTTAAAGATTTACTGGACGAAACAACAGAACGAGAGTGGCAATGCTAATAGAAGAAATGTGAGTCAAAATAAGGTTTGTCAATTAGATTTAACTTACCAGTCAATTAAAAAATGCAATTAAAATGAAGAATTTATACTCCTGCACATGCCAACTAGCTTAACATCAAAATGTTAAAAACAGTAAGAAATAAAAGAGATTCACAGACACTTATGGGTAATAATAGATTTTAACACATAGCCGTCAGATGATAATAGATTAAACAGATAAAATATGAATAAGGAAGTAAAAGATAATTAACAATGTTGAACAGATAAAATATGAATAAGGAAGTAAAAGATAATTAACAATGTTGAATAATTGGCTATACTTAGATGTTTATGAATTATGTAAAAAAAATCTTAATTTAAATATTGACGTGGAGAAGTTACAAAAATAATGACCTCTTTTTAAAAATGCAGAAATTTCACAGGCTACTCATTTGCATCACAAAACAATGAAATGTAGTATAAATGGGAACAAAACAACCAGCCACTTGGGTGATGTTTATATTTGAGGATTATAGGAATTTGGAGTTAAAGGAGGTTCAATTATCCTTTTAAGGATAATTTTAATCAAACATAATAAATTAAGACAGAGCGATACAAGGTCACTTCAAAGAGACAGTATGATTCCCGGACACTAAGATCTAGCCATGATCCAACTAAATATATTAATATTTCCAAAGAAATTATGTTGATCCAAAGAGGAGCTGGTTCAACCAGAAAAGAAGAGGGGAAAAACAAGAGTCTGAGAGGGTAACCTTGGCACTGCTCATCCAGGAAACAAGGGCGCCTCATCCACCTGGACTTAAATGATACAACCTATGGGCAAGACCGTCCTTCGTCCTTCTCATGGAGTTGAAAGTGTGGTTACTTTAGCCTGATTTTGATGTGAGCTTGACTTGATTTTGTTGATTTTTAGCCTGATTTGAGTTCAAACTTTATGCACACCAAGCAAGCACCTTTTGATTTTGCTTGGACCCTTCATGTATAGGTCTGTGTGCAGGGTGATTGTGCACAAGGGGAGCTGTGTTTCTGTAATCTTAATAGGAATGCATTTCAAGAAATCATCTGCTCTTATGTTGGAAAAGTAAGGTTCCTGAACCTTATAGTATATTAAGGCTACAAGGAAAGAGAGTCCAGAAATTGACATGTAATATAAATAAAACAAGTTACACAATGTAAGTTGCTCTTATTCACTGCTGTGTCTTGGTGCTCAGAGCAGGTTATGGTATGTATGGAGCACTAAATATTTGTTGAAAGAATGAAATAGGTGGGCAAGGACAGAATTACTTAACAATACCGGTGGGATAATTGGTTATTTATTTTACATGCACTAAAACATGTAGCATATGCACCAAAGAGTTAATGTTAAAAAGAAAAACTAAAAGAAATATCCAAATGTTAGTTATACTTCTGAAGGGGCAACGATTTTCTAAGTTTGAAGGATGGAAGAAATCACAAAGGAGAATAACAGCAACAAATCTAACTACATAAATATTGAAAACTTATGTTAGTAAAATATTTCAATAATAACCAGAATTCAAAGTCAGACAACATGGGAAAATGTTTGCAGGAAATGTAACAGCCAAAGGCCTGATATTTTATTATGTAAAATGTTCCTGCCAATTGATAAGAGAAACAAAATTCCAAGAGCATAAGCAGACAACTCACAAAAAAGAAATCAAAGCTAGTAAGTAAACACATGGAAAAATATTTGACTGAACTGGTAATCAAACACATTCAAAATAAAACAGTAATTTTTCTAAAAGCCTTTTAAATTAGCAAGGAAAACAAAATTTTATTTTTATGAAAACCCAATGCTGGTAAAGATGTTATAAAAATGGTATTCTCCTATTTTGCTGATAATATTTTAAAAGTTGGAAAACAGCTTGGCATTATAATATAAAGAACCATAAAAGTATTTATAGCCTTTGACCCAGTAATTTGACTTCTGGGAAACTATCCTGAGGAAAACTAATCCAAAATATGGAAAAAATTAAATGCCTAAGAGTAAATTAGGAAATACTGAGTGTCCCACAATAGTTGAATGATTAATATGCTGTGGGAGAGCCACTGGATAAAAAACTACATAGCCAAAATTATTCTTGTGAATATGGAGACCATGCAGCCAAGTGGGAAAATGTTTGTGCTTTAATATTAAGTGAAAAATGAATAAACACTTAGGTATAAAAAGATACACAAAGGAGAAAAGATTGAAATAAATACACCAAATCTAACTGGTTGATCTAAAATGGCAGGAGGACAGTGGCTTTTCTTCTTTAGCTTTTTTTGGTAATGGGCCATCATTCACCCTGTTCTCAGACCTCATGACAGTGGCCTCCATTTCTCGTCATACACCTCACCCCCAAGCTCCATGCCAGTGTCCAGAAGCCCTGCGCATCTGTGCTGGTGCCATTCAAGTTCCACCTGGTCCTGGAAGCTCTCCCTGACCTATCCACCAAGTGAAAAGTCTCCCTTAGCCATGACCCCAGAATGCTGTATCAACCTTTCTACAATAGTATGTACGTAATGGGCCTTGTGTGGAAATGATGTATATGCAGTTTGTGTCTGTTACCACGACTAAGTTTTTAAACCCCTGGAGGGCAGGAACTGTTTGATTTCTTTTTCTCTCTCCTCAGCCAAGACCGCAGTGCTTTACCTGTGTGGAATGCCTGAATGAATATTAATTGAAATGCCTTTAATTGCCCTGATGTCAACTACTTCTGACTCCCCGGCAGGTGGAGCTCATGAAGGTCTGCAGCACTTAGGCCCTTTTGGCAACATCCCAAACATCGTGGCAGAGCTGACCGGCGACAACATTCCCAAGGACTTCAGTGAGGATCAGGGCTACCCAGATCCTCCAAATCCCTGTCCCGTTGGAAAAACAGGTAATGGACATGCCCTTGAGCTCCCACGGATGGTAGAGGCCCTGGGAGGAAATTAAAAATTCTAACACCAACTATAAATATTCTGAAAAATAGTACTTCTATTCTGATGAGCCCCTATGTATTTGTAAGCAAATTGGGAAGGGAAATTTTTGCTAAGTTCTAGTGCTCAGATAAACCCGCATAGGACTCTCTTGCCAAGGCTTTACTTTCTGCACTTGCCACTCTTTTAATAAAAAGAGAGAAAGATTTTCTTTTCTTTTTGCTTGTTCTATGATGCAGTTGCTGTGCATTTTTAGTATCTTTGGAACTTACTATTTAGTTTGTGGATTTTCCATGCCCATTTGTTTTCCTTAGTTCTCTTGATAATCAACCTTTCAGCTGTGTCACAACCAGTTAGCATCTATCCTGAAATATTTCTTTTGGGGCCAGGAGGTGGTATGAGCAATAGGGGATCCAGGAAGGTTAAGATGTTGGTTAAGGACGAAGGTTGAAAGTTTCCTTGCTGTTCTTACATCCCCGCTGCCGCCAAAGAGAATGAATGATATAGGCTCTGAGTAGCTTACCTCTGTGGTTAGGAGTAATGGTTCTAGACAACAACTACCTGAATTCAAAACCAAAGTCAAGATATGTGACCTTGAACAAGTTAATTGCCCACTTTGCACCTCATTTTCCTCATTTGCAAAATGGATGTGTTTGTGGGAATTGAATGAAATGATCCGTGCTAGCACCTGGCACAGATTTAGTGAGCACACAATGAAGACTCATTAAGTGGCATCCTGATCATAATCAGCTCTACCAATAGTACATAATCCATCTCTCTTGTTGGGCTTGTGCTAACTTCTACCACTAGAATAGTCTTTTTCCCCAAGCCTAATAATGATGATAGTTGGCATTTGTTTTACATATATGGAAACTGAAGCTTAGAGAGTAACTTGCCCTAGGTTATCTATGTAGCAAGTAATTGAGCCAAGACTCACACCCAGGTCTGCCTGATGGAGATGGTGTTCTCAACCACCATGACATATTTGCCTTGCTCTGAAATTGGCAGTATTGGCCATTCAGCCGTGTTCCCTGAAAGAGGCTCTCTTTGAAAGTTAGCCTTCCTCTCATTTAGGATGAGATCTCTGTTTTTCCATGGGGCACAAAACCTCCATCCTGGGATGGAACAACACGAGTAATTGGATGTGGCCAAGCACATGTGGGGAGGCTGGCCCAGGAACTGCAGGAAAACCTGAATTACTGCACAGAGCCAATCACATCAGCCACGTTTTACTTGCTTGTAGGCTTTGGATGTGTAGGAAGAAAGATCAGTTCAGAGTTTGAAGAGCGACTCCATGGGGCTTTGGTAAACTGATCAGGCATAATATAGTAGAATGGTTCTTGAAGTGTGGTCCCAGGACCAGCAGCAGCTGTGCTACCTAGAAACTTGTTGGAAATGCAAATTTTCAGGCCCTACCCCAGACGTATTGGATTAGAAACTTGGGGTAGAACCCAGAAATCTGTATTCTAGCCTGTCTTCCATGTGATTCTGGTGCATACTAAAGTTTGAGAACCACTGTTCTAGGAGAATGGAAAGAACCAGAGTTTGAGGCAAGAGATCTAAGTTCTAGCCTTACCTACTATATGTATGCTTACTTCCCCAGACCTCAGTTTTCTCACCTGTAAAATGAAGCCATAGTGCCTTGAAAAACATACAGTGTAGTCCTAGGTTATCCTGAAAACAGGAAATCACAGATCTATGAAATCAGGCACTAGTTTTGTGCACTTAGGAGCTCTAAGGTGAGAGCAGTCGAGACAGGCTGATAGAGTTGGGTAAAATTACAATGCCCAGACCCATCTTTGAGAGATTATCTGCCATCCCTTTTGCTATCTTTCCAGCAAGTTAACATATTTCTTACTCTTTGTTCTATCATAATTTTCAGTCTAGAAAGGAAATCACCAGCTAAATTTAGCTATTATTTGTAAGAAATTGCTTGAGATATGCCTCACTGGGAATCATGACATCACACAGTTGAGCAGTCCAAGAGAATAAAACCTTGACTTCTCCTTCCCATGTCATGCCCGTGTCTGAATAATGGCCCACTCACCCTGCACAGAGCAGCAGAACTCAGCATGTCCATCCTCAGGCACAGGGTGTGAAGTCCAAGTGCATTTTCAGACCCCAAGATACCTGAGGTTCCCACAGATGGGCTTCATCTCTGTATCTCAGTCTGAGCCCACTCAGCCATTCTTGAGGAACAATTACGGAAAGGTTGTAAAGCTGCCACATGCAGACTGCCTGAACTCTTGATTTGCTCTCCCTTCCCTACATGTTAATCGCTGCAGATGAAGAAGTTAGAAAAACAGTTCAATGAAAAGTGGGCAGCCACATTTGAGCCACATGAGGGATTTGTTCAGAATGCTAATGACTTCCACACATACTTCATCCTGCTAAGATGAGAGACTGGATGCTTAAAGCTGCTGGAAGGCTTCAGAGCAGCCCCAGGAGACAAGACTACCTGGCTAATTGTATTAGACCTCTTTTAGCATGGACTCTGATGCCTCATTATCCCTTTTACAAGGGACTTTCTTTCCTCCCCATAGCCCTGAACAAAATTCACAATCCCTCCCTTTCCTCCCCCTTTTTGAAAGCTGTTGTCTAAAGCACACTACAGACAGAAAAAAAAAAAAATCCATTATCAGAGGAGCGTGTCTGGTAATGATAGAGCTTAGGTAAAAACAGCAGCCAAGAGGAATAACCTTTCTCAGATTTGAATGGAAGACATGTTTTATTTCAAAGAGCAGTCATAGTATAAACTGTCATTTAAAGAGAGATGGTGGGAAGGGAACTAAAACACAGAGTAAGCGTCTTCTGTGCCAGATGCTCTCTCTCTATATGATCATTTCTGTTTCTCATGGCTACCCTGTAAGGCATTTGATTACTCCCATCTCATAGATGAATATATGGACTTGGAGACTAAGTTAACTTTCCCAAGGAACTAAACCCATCTATCGCTTACGAGCTAGGATTTGAACCCTGACTCTAGTCTATCTGATTCCAAGCTTCCCCTATTACCGCCATTACCCAACATCAAGGGTGTCTAGGGATTATTGTTCTTGTATAATATACTTTCTCCAAGAAGCTAAAATTTTATCAAAAGAGCTCACCCAAGAGAAAACAGAGTGAGTCATGTGGAATGGAAGTATATTAGTTAAGGAAATACTTCTGTTATAACAGATAAAAAAATCTCCCTGGCTTAACACAGTAGAAGTTTGTTTATCACTCATGTGAAGCCCTGCCACAGGCAGGTGAGGGTGTGGTGTGTGGGTGGGAGGCTCAGCAGAGCAGACCACCATCCTTCATCTTGACATATGTCATCACAGTTGCCCTGGTCAGTGGCACGTAGCAGGCAGGACCACAGATGGGGGGCTGGTCTGCCGGGGAGAGGAGATCACATAGGTTTTTTTTATGGGCCAGGACTGGAAGTGGAATGCATCACTTCTGCCCACATTCCACTGGCCCAAACTCAGGCATATGACTCCACCTGATTGCAGAGCAAGGCTGGGAAATCAGCTCTGGGCTGAGAGGGAAAGGGAAGTGGGTTTGGAGAGCAGCCAACCAGTCTCTGCCACAGGTAGGAGGAGGAGTGAGGATTTGGGGTGAGCAAATTCTAGAGGGAAAGTGACTTAAAGTGACTGATGGGGACAGATTTGACCTTTGGAGGTCTAGTTGTTTTTACTAAATTAACTCTTAGGATAATGATAAATAACCTTGGCCATTCCTCAAACACCTTTTGCTGTTGCAGTAGATGATGGCTGTCTAGAAAACACTCCTGACACAGCAGAGTTCAGTCGAGAATTCCAGTTGCATCAGCACCTTTTTGACCCGGAACATGACTATCCAGGCTTGGGCAAGTGGGTAAGTCTAATCTTAATTATTGGTAGATTTTATACTCTGGTCCTCTGATGGCAGTCATGGCAATGATGAGTAAGACGGGTGAGGAGAGAGAAGAAAAATTGTCAAAGCTAATTTTTCAGGAATCTGGTGGAGAGGGATTTTAAATAATTGTCATTCCAAACCACATTCATATGTCTAGGGCTCAATATACTGACCCAGCCAAAAAGTTAATAACCTGGACTGATTTCATCAGCTATAGTCTCCAGAGGCCTTGACTCTGGTCTATTCCACACCCTATATCATAACACATCCTAAAGCTGTGTTTCACAGAACTTTTACATGAAGTAAGTTATTTAAAAAGAAAAAGATACTGAGAAAAGTTGCACATTTTATCCCTTGGCTGAGAGAGATGATCTCCATAGTACCAAGGAAAAATGATGCCAGAAGCTGAGAAACAAATACATGTAATTCTGCTGTGTGAAAAGAGAAGAAAAATTCTAAAATGCATAGCAGTGAACTTGTTGTCAATAACAGGCAAGCATCTATAAGTGTCAGTTAAAGAAACTGTTTATAAGTGCTTAGAAAGAGAAGTCATGACATTTGGCATAGGCATGCTAAAAACAAGTTCTGTCAATCTAATTGTATTCTTCTACTTGCCAGCTTGATGAGGTAAATGAAGTGAGCATGGTGCATTTGGACTTCAGCCAAGCGTTTGATGAGGTCTTTCATGATCTCCTGTTGGAAGAGGTGGAGAGAATACAGCCTAGGCAAGAGAACATCCCCAAAAGGGAGCTTGTTGTTAAAGAGTCTCTGTCAATAGGGAGACAGACGGTATCCTGCATGTCTTAGCACTGCTCCACTCCACATTTTTTGTAAATGTTTTAATAAAAATATAGAACATGCACTTATTGGATTCTCCAAGGATGACACAAAGTTGGAAGGGATAGCACTGAATGTCAGAGTTGGGATTCAAGAAGATCCCAGCAGGCTGGAACAATGTGTCAAAGAAGATCACAACTGAATAGAGGTATATCTGTGTTCCTGTGGTTGGGCCTACAACCAGATGCTGAAGCCATGTGAGAAAAGTGGGGAAGTACTAAGGAGTGTTAATTCACATGTAAGCAGGTGGTCAGTATGTGTGTGGAATGAGTGAATGGCTAGCATTCCTAACTGCCTAAGCCTTGTAAAGCTACTCATCCCTTCTCAGCTCATTATGGAACCTGACTTTGCTTCCTACTTTACTGGGAATAGTATAATCTTAAGACTAAGTTCTCTCCCTTCCTTTTACACTCTTTTAGAGAGAGGTGTTCCTCCTCTTAATGACTACTTGCATTTTCCCATCATCTTACTTTCACATGGCATTGAGTTGACTCCCTCTACCTCCAACATGCACACATTTCCTATCTAAAATAACAAAGCAATAGTACCCTGAGTTAATTTTGCTTTCTCCAATATGCATTATTCTATTTCCCTTCTTTTTCATATGCAGTTCTGTTAGGGAGAATTGGTTTGTGGAGCCATTTTAAAGCATACTAGAAGAGTTTAAACATGTTGAGTCACATAGGCAAATATCTATGGGTTCTTGAATAGGAGACTGAAATCCTGAAAGTCATCTATAAAAGATATTGTTCTGGTGGTGTATGGAAAGATGAAAGAAAAAAAAAAGGAAGAGACTAAAGGATATAAAAAAATAGGCAGTAATTCCAGTTATGAAGGCTGTGAGCATAATGAATTCAAGTGACTCTCACCAACACGGTCAGCCACGACACAGGGGGCTGAGGACTGAGAAGAGCTGGTGTAAGGCGAGAGTATAGCATCAGGAGGAAAGAAGAGGTATGTCAGGTTTATATGAAATGGACACTATCAACTTTTCTTCTGGGGTATTTTTTAAAGAAAGAAGGGGAGAAGAGAGGGAAGCAAGAGGGAAAGAAGGGAGTAGAGAAAGGGTGGGAAAGAGTAAAAGATCACAGAGGAGCACTGGGAGGGAATCCACAAGGGATGGGCAAAAGTATTAGCAGACACAACTAGGGGTCGGGCTCAACAAAAAATAAACGGAAGATACTGAGCCTGCCTCATTCCCGGCACTGTGCTAGGCACTCCATATACAGTGATCATTAGGACATGGTACTGGTCTTCAGTAAGCTGACCATCTTGTGATTTGAGATGAATTGCATGAAAAAAAATGAACCCAACATAGCACTGTTCAGCTTCATGTTCTAGCTCGACGACAAGCACCAGGTACAATTCCTGACAAAGATGGAAGGTGAGGGCAGAGGCAGACCCGGGACTGAGAACTTGCACAGCCAGTAGTACAACAGCCGTCAAAGATGTCAGAGATGCGAAGCAGGGCAGCACTGAAGTGTAAGGTGAGAAGATACCTGCATAACTGTAGATGAAAATGAGCTAAAGGAAGCAAAAGAGAGACAAAAAAATGAGTGCGGGCAGAGAGGCCAACTGAGGAAGTGGGGAAGGTGGGAACCTCTCTTGCTAACTTTCCTCACCTCCTCTTAAGCATCTTTACAGATTTCTTTCACCAAGTTCCACTCACTCCTAGCAGCCAGTAAGAGGCCAGCCACTATCCCTCATGTTCTTTGCTCCTTTTTCTAAACACTGATTGTTTTTTCTCAGCCATTCCCATCTTTGTCTACATGAGTGCTAAGACTAGAAGTTCAGACTACTACAGATCAATGATCAGGGACGCTGGCTATGCACCTTTTACCATCTGTAATTATGTGTTTGTTTAAACTTAAGTTTCCTTCATTTATTTTCTCATCACCACCTAGCAGTAAAACAATTTTCACACATGGAAGTGTGAATTGAGTACAGTAGTCCCCCCCTTATCCACAGGGATATGTCTCAGGACCCCCAGTGGGTACTGGAAGTGCAGATAAATAGATTGTGTATGTGTGTGTGTTTAAATTTTCCTATACATTAGTAACTATGATAAAGTTTAATTTATAAACGAGGCACAGTAAGAGATTAACATCAATAACTAATAATAGAATAAAACAATTATAACAATATACTGTAACAAAAGTTATGTGAATGTCGTCTCTCTCTCCTAAAATACCTTATTGTACTGTACTCACCCTTCTTCCCTCGGTGATGATGTGAGATGATAAAATGCCTGTGTGATGAGATGAAGTGAGGGGAATGACAGGCATCATGATGTAGCGTTAGGCTCCTACTGACCTTCTGACAGTATGTCAGAGGGGGGATCATGCTTCCAGACCTCAGTTGACAGTGGATATTTGAAACAGCAGGAGGCAAAACGTGAAGATGAGGGGGAGACCTCTGTATGTCTTGAATTTCTAAGCTGGGGTCCATGAGCCTTTGTCAGTGTTTTTATTGAATGATGAGCTCAAGCTTGTCTTACGCTCAATTACCTTATAAGTCGACAAAGTAATTATCTTCCACAAAATAAGTGCATACAAGGCCCTGATTCTTTATTTACTAATATCATTTTCCTGTTTTGGACATAAGCTGGAGCTCACCTGGTCTTTCGACATGATTCACATATTATAAATATCAGTGCCTATCTTGTTTTCCGCATTTCACTCTCTTTGTTAATGCACCAAGATACTTACTAAATGCATATCATATACTTTCCAGGCCCTACATTAGTTGATGGAAAAACAAAGGTGAATAATAGTAATTACATAATTAGTAATAAAAATAATTATATTTTATAATACAACAGTAAATAGTAATATTTATTGAGCACATGCCTTGTGCCAGACACTATGCCAAATAGTTTACATGAATTATCTCATTCAATCTGCCCATCCTTATCGCCTTCATTTTATGGGTGAGAAAAGACAAGCGAGTTTGAATAACCCGCCCAGCACCACAGAGCTGATGATGGGCACAGAGCTGGGATTTGAACCAGACCATCCGACTTCAGGAGTTCTTTAAAAACTGGATACATTCCTTGCCTTTTCATGGCTCATCACTCAGAATGTGTCCTGTGCAGCCCTCCTGCCGAGTCCCTCCTAGGGCCGGCTGTCTGTCAGACAAGGTGGGACCCACAGCGTCGAGCGGCTAAGACCGAAAGGTGGCTGCTGTAGACGTCAGACACGCCGTCCCTTCACACATCACGTGCTGTTACTCACTTAGGAAAAAGTCCCGAAAAGCACACGTTTTTCCTTTCCAAGTGCCCTTCCCATATATTCCCCAGCAGCGTGTGTGGTCAGAGGCTCTTCCTTAGACGGAGCTGCCGAGCTGACCAGCACCTTTGTCCTTCATGACCTCGGTATGAGTCTCCCGCGCTTCTGCCTGGGCTTGTCTCATGTGTTCGTGTGAGTTGGCGTGAGTGAGGCCTTTCTGATATGTTCCTCTTCATGTTTCACAGCAGGTGTGCCCCAGAACGGGTGGTGACTTGGTTAAAGGGGTACCTGGGGTTCCTCCAGTGTAAATGACCACTTCTCCCTTTGAAACTAATAATTGGTCTGTGGGGAGATGCTTCAAGACTCTATAATATTCTGTCACCATGAAACTCTCAACCAACAATTTTAGTGTCCATTGATGAAACTCACCAGCATCGATTGTAACTATGGTAGTTGTAAAATAGTGATTTTAAAACTCTATTATTCTTTTTGCATTTTTTGGTTAGCATTCTACTCTAAGCAAGAGTTTCCCTGTTCCCTCATATATGTATTATTTATTTTAAAGTTTATTACCTGTATGGATTCACTGATTCCTACTATTATTTTTGTTGGTGTTTAAACTGTCCTAAGACTGAGCCAGTAGGAGAGTCTTTGCAAGCCTGCTTTTCCTTCCTTTTGACACATCCCATGAGCACTTCCTTACTTTTTGGCCCAATTAAATATTCCAATTTCATTTATGATTGTACTTTCCCTGCCTTAGCCCTGAAATCAGACATGACTCCAAGAAGCCTCCCTCGTTCCATTTAGGACTGGAATTTGAAATCAAGATCTGGGGAGTTGTCCAAAATCTTGAGGGCACAGTGGAAAGCCCTTTTAGTGAACTTGGACCTGCTACTTACAATGGAAAACATGTTCCCCATTACCCCCTCCCCACCCTGTCCTCAAGGAGTGGGTGTCAGGAGAGGGGTTTCTTCTCATTTGTGTTGTACATCTTATACCCACATGATACCAGCCAATCCCTGCTTTTAAATCTACACAATAGTGGGGTTAATTGGGAATGCCCCAGCCACTTGTGTGGGGTAGGAAAGCATCATCTCGCTAATCCTAAACCTTGCTCTTAGGAAAACACAGGGGTCATCTTTGAGAGGAAGACTTGACAGACCTTTTACATTTCTTTTTGAATGAAGGCTCTCAGGGGTCTAGTCTGCCCCATGACCTTCTAAAGGGGATTAACTAAAATGCTACCTTTACCCTGCTGGTGGCACAGTGGAGCTCCACCGCAGCTGACTGGCTGTCCCAGCCCCTGGGGCCCTGTGCACGCCCTCCCACTCAGATGAACCCTTGGCACATGTGCATGAGCCTCTGTCCTGGCCCCTTATTCCTCTCACTTCCCCAGCTTTGGCAAAAACTCCCAGGATATTCTCTGAGCATTGGGAGTTGTTACATCTACAGAGAGGCAACTATAGATGACAGGAAGGACCCTCACAGAAATACGCTTATTCTTCAAGGGAAGGATCTGCATGTTGCCTTTTCTCCTTTCTGAGAGTTAATTGACCCATTAGACCCCGTGAGCAGGAGATGGAGGCTGCAGTCAGTACCGGCTTTGGGGCAGTGGATGCTCCTTCCTCCTGGCTTGGTCTCCCTGTGTACTTGAGGTTTGGCAAGAGACACACATTGCGAGTTGAAGGTGGGGTGGACTTTAATGAACACGAACGCTATGAAGCACATTCTTGACATTCATCATTTTTATTTCCAGATCTTCCATTGAAAAAAATCTTTATATGCTAACAGCTCAGAGGATACAAGTGTTATATAAATGTGCTCCTTACCAGAACTCCGTTGTCTTCTTTTTTTTAGAAAAGTCAGTCAGAATATTTTATTTAGAGTAAAATGAACCAGTGCATGAGGTTCTTTTATACATTATTTTCCTTCTCATTAAAAAATTAAAAAAAAAAAAAGCCCAACACAAGTAAAGCCCCTCAGTCCCCCTTCTCCCATTTTGCCTCCAGGTCAAGTATTCTGTCATTTCTAATCCCAAGAGGAGGGAAATCTGCTGAGCATGTGTCTGATATTCTAGAGCTCACTTAAATCCACTATGTGTTTGGAATACAGCAATATGTGGAAACATTTATACAAACTGTGGTAACAGAGCCGGGTTTTTTCTCCCCCCAGCATAACTTTCCTTCTTCCAAGAAGTTTTTTGGCAGTTTTTAAAAGGTTCACTCTATTAAAAATGTTATAGACCAAATGGTTTTCCGATTGTCTTGACTGGGGGCAGTGATTCAAGCCACAGGGGGAAAGGTTGCAGAAGTCAGAGCATCTCGTTTATTTACACAGAGGATTGTTATTAATAGTCAGACACTACTCTAGAGAGCAGCTGATGTGTACAGCTCACAAAAAGGGACTCAGATACAGAGAACAATGAGGTAAAATTGTTTGTTTCAAACAAAGGCTGCTCGAAGTGAGGAGCCGGCTCTCTCCTGCCCCTTGCGCTTTAGAGTGTCGTCTTTTCCCATTGATATGATTGTTGGTGATGCTGGTGTGCCTCGGGGCATTGCAGGGAGCCTTGTTAAAAGCTGCAGAACCACCAGCTTTTCTCCTGTGGTCTCTCTCTCTCTCTCTGACAGGGCATTCCTTTCATCCAGCTCTGTTTCCAAAATATGTGTATGCAAATATCCACAGGGAAGCATCAAGTACTGCTTTTAAAACAGACATTCATCAAATTTGATCCATACTTCTCTGCACTTGTGTTTTCTTTTCTCCTCACTCTAGAACAAGAAACTCCTTTACGAGAAGATGAAGGGAGGACAGAGACGGAAGCGGAGGGTGAGGCTCGGCTGGTTGGATTGTGGGGGGGATGCCTGGAGCTTTCTGAGCGGGCCGGCTGGCAAGCTGTAGCCCTCAGGTGTGGGAAAGTAGGATCTTCTCGCAGCCCTGGGAGGGCAGAACAGCAGTCCCCGGGCATGGCCCAGAAAGGCCACTCTTGGTTTCTGCGCTGGCTTCCAAGCTTTAGCACATGGCTTTTAGTGCAATGCCAACATTTGTGGTGATTGCACCACCTCTGTACACCGGGTATGTCTTTCCTCATAGGGCTCATGGGCCGTTGGGAGAAACAGCTCACACGTCTGCATCAATGACATAAAAACACAGACAGGAGTAAGCAAGTGCCGAAATGTATGCTCCAGGCAATCATTTTGAAGGAATGTGAGGCCAAAGATGAGATGAACAAACCTCATTCCTTCCACATACCTTCTTTCCTGGCCTAGCCAGACTGATGTACAATCCACCAGATGAATTATATTTGCTTACTGACTGGTTAACCGACTGCAGGCTTAGTTATTAACCATTTCAGGGCTGCTCAAGGTGGGACCTTGGTCTGTGTACTACACATTTAGCCACTACGCTGTTGCCTTTTATAAAGCTGAATGTCAAATTTGCTTTAGGTTTCCACTGCATCTTATGGCATCAAGACTGAATAAGTGAGCCCATTCTGCTAATCCACCGGTACCTTACTAGGCAGAAGGGTCTGGCTACCTGCCTTCTTTATCTGATTAGATGGAGGAAAAAGTTAAAGTCCTACTACTACATAGCAAAGCACTGTCAGATAGTAAAGATTTTATTTAAAATATGCAAACCAAACCATACAAGGGGGACCACTGGCTGTTTAGAATAGCAAGTGTTTGGATCCCGGTAAAAGTTGGGAATCTAGACAGTGGTAATTGTGGCCATTCTGAATAGTTTTGCCGAATCCAGTCAGAGGGTGTTTTGAGAGGCGGATTGTCTGGACTCAGCATGAATTCTCAGGCCCCCAAAATAGAATGTTCCAAGACCCTTTGTTGCCTGACAAAGTACAGAAGACCCACAGCTAATCTTCTATTCGAGAAGCAAAGTTTCGGCGACTGGAAACAGATCTTCAGGAGAGTTAATGGGGTCAGTGGGGTTTTTCTTGGGTGATTACAGTTGGTGGTAGGAAGGTCAAAAGGATGTAATGTAGTCTTGAAAGAACATCAAGAAATTCTATTCCAGGAGCTCCGAATACACATAATTTACCAGTAAGATGGCTTGAATATCTCCCCATGGCCCAACAAGGACATTTCCAAATAGGCCCTGTGACCCACCCAAACTGAATGACTTAGCATGAAGCTTTGAATTGTCTCTGCTTCCTGGCTCTGCGTGCCTTCTGCCTTGACCTGGTTAATGAGTGTGGGTCACTATTCAGGTGATTTCTCCTTGAGACCAGTGATTTCCATAATTCAGAATTCTGGCTAGGACACATGTTATAAAGGATTTTATTTTGGCCTCAACTTCCTCCACATAAGAAAGGCTCAGACTTTATGACAATAAGGATCACTTTGACCCAGCGGTATCAAGTTCTTCTTACTCAGACATCTACAAAGACCCACACTCATTCCACACACCACGGACCTCCCAGCACTGTGGGGGACACAACCTGCCTCTCTGGCCGTCAGGCCTCAGACGATGTTTCCATCTTGACTGAAGGTTTTAACCACCCTCTCCAGTGCATGAAAAAATGCATAGAAATTATGGGCTTGCTTTTGTGAAAAACCAAGGCTTTCTCCAGTGAAGCTGAGCATTCAAGATGCCAGAAGCGGGGATCTGATCCCAGTTGTAACATGGGAATAATGTTCTCTCTGTAACCTAGTGCTGCTCTCACCCAAGAGAGAAGATAAATATATAAGTGCCTTTAATTCTTTGGAGATAACAAGCCAAGAATCATCATCATTATTACTCTTAAGTATAGGACTCAATACTAATAAACATTTCTCAAAAATATTCAAGTGATTGCTCCTTTTACTTCCTCACCAATTTATTTCCCCCTTTCCTCCTACATTTGGTATTTTTTGGGTCTGAGCATAAGGACTTACTTTCATAAAAGACCCTTACCAAGAGGGATGTTCCCCCAAAATTACCATTGAGCCCAGGTGCTTTTACTTAACTTTCTATACTTGCTCAAATCCAACTGAATTCTGAGTTGCTTCACAAGTAAAAGATCAATTCGCCTTTATATGACTTTGCAAACTTTCTAACTCTTCAGATGAATCTTGTTAATATTTGAGATCTACTATTACTTATTTAGAAAGTTTATTACCTTTTATTCTCATATTTAATAAACATAAACATCTCATATCCTTTTTAAATATATTAGAATTTTCAGAATAATATTACTAAAAAGACAATAAAAACATTAATGAAAAAATGTTTCCAATTTAAAAATACATGTTTTCAGTTCACACTTGCTCCACAAAGATTCTGACATGATTGTCTGGGTAGGTCAGTCCATTCTGGTTGACAATCCCTAACATAAAAAGTATTTTAGTTATTTCAGATGTTTCAAAGATGTCTTCCCAGCAAAGTACTCTTTTTTGTGACATGTCACCATTCAGAGATGTGAGAACATTGCACACTTTGTAATTCTCAGCTTGTTTGGGATGCATTTTTGCAAGATGACCTTTCATGATTCATGCTTTACCTGTCATATTGTAGGACATTTACAATGCAAAAGTCAGGTTGCATTCCTTCTTTTTTGGAGAATGTCTGCTCACCCTTCAAAAGAACCATGGCAGACAGTGTCCCATGAGTAGAAAAGAGCCACCTGTGAACCGCCTCCATTCTTTCATGGGGCCTTGGCATGGAACAGGATTGCTGGTCATTGGTAACCACAGCTTCTTCCTTACAGTTTGTTTGGTCATTGGAAGATGGCCACAGTGAACATCTTACAAACTTTCTGAATTTTTTTCTGCTTGCTAAGTACTAAGTTGTAAAGCTCCAATTACTAGTTCAAATCCAACCCTCAAAAAATAGATACATGTTAGAGAAGGAGTGGGACAACTTTGACTCATCCAGAATACCAAGAGATGAAAGAGATTTCGGACTATGGAGTCTGAGCCCAAAATAAAAGCACCTCTGTAACTTCCTACTTTTCTTCAGCTTTTGAATTTTACTGAGTGAAGGTGGAATGGAGTGCTAGAGCCACTGATGAACCCTCTTTACTAGAGCACAGGCATGGAAGAATCCACACAGCAGCAGGATGTTCTGTGACCAGCCCGCAGATGCCAATACACACCTGGTCCTGCTCTGTCGTCATCTCCTTTAGAGCATTCTTCATCAAAAATGATTTAATTAATTTCAGATTCTCCCTTCCACCTAAATAAGACCATAGAATAATAATTCTCTTTCATATGGGGCTTGGTATCTAAGTTAATAGCAACAGCTTATTAGCTGGTTCACTCCAGTAAGAAGAGTGGGCCTCATCTTGCAACTGATAGAGAACACTGTGATATTAGATATGCCTGTCACCCAGACAATGTCTCTGAGGCCCTGAGGCCCTGGAGTAATCATTTGGGAGGTGGGAGGTATCACTGCTACCTCATTGTTAATCCCATAGAAATGATTCTTGATCATCTCTTTTATGAAATGTCTGTATTTGATGTTCAGGTATAATACCAAACCAGTTTTTTTTTTTTTCAGAGTGTCAATCCATATCTACAAGGGCAGAGACTGGACAACGTTGTTGCAAAGAAGTCAGTCCCACATTTTTCAGATGAGGATAAGAATCCAGAATAAAGTGAAGATACCAGGCCCACATCACCATTAGGCCTCTGTATTGCTACATGCACGTTATTAGAGCCCCCATGAATGGTAGCATGTTTCTAAATTAGGTAACTATGGATGAAAAGCAGCTGTATTTTGATAGTGCATTGTCCTTCACACTGATAATTCTACTTTCTGCTAAATGAGAATAAGAGCTTTTTTATTTTAACTGTGGATCTGCAGTGAGCACTCAAATTAAACTGTATATGTCAAAAACAATAAAAAACAAGACTGTAGATGAAATATTCTAAGATTTCTTGCAGCTTGAAATGGTGTTTTTGGCTGCACTGTTTTGGCCATTCCATGAAAAACTGGCATTTGATTTTGATTATGTATTTCATCCAGCCCTTGGGCATCATTACACACCAATAAAGAAGATTGTACTCAAGAGGAAGAGATGACACATTTCACTTGGCTACATCTTAATAAATGTGTATGCAAGCATTGGTGTGTGAAGTTTTCTTATTTAGATCATAAAAACAATTTCTTTGTTTACTAAACAAACTCACAAATGTTATCTTATCTGATCTTAATAATACACTTAAATAAATAGAGGGGCTAGTATTATCATCCCCATTTTACAGATGGTCAGACTGAGACCCAGAGAGGTCCTAGGAAAAGCCAAAAGTGGGGATGAATCCATGTAGCAGCAGGACATTCTGTGACCAGTCCGCAGACGCCAATACCCACCTGGTCCTTCTCCATCATCTTCTTTAGAGCATTCTTCATCAAAAATGATTTAATTCATTTCAGATTCTCCCTTCCATCTAGTCAGTACCTGTTGACTAAGGTCTTCTGACTTTGAGTTATTTTACTTATTCCGTAAATACTGTGTTTCTACCATGTTTGAGGCTCAAGGCTGGGCTCTGGAAGTGCATAGGGGACTCAGACTGACACCCCGTGGCCCTCAGGCAACAGAGCACACACCCAGGTCTTGGAGTGTCTCTCCATGAGCACAGAGCGAGTCATTCAGCTCCACTCTTCTTTGCAAGTTTGGAATAGCATGTGCAAGAGCACCTCCTGCCTGTTTCTGAAGAGGTGTGCAATATTCTTTCAACCAAGTACTCCCAAGTGAGAAAATCAATTTAGTGAAAGGCTGGCAGGAATAAGCTCACTGGTGAGATGACTTCCTTTTACAATTCCTCCCTGTAACAGAAAGAACACCTTCAGGCTTTGGAATCATCTATCTCAATTTACTTGTCTCTTAAAAGAGAGGCAGTAGTGAGAAAGCACTCCAGAAGAAAGCTCATTCTTGATTTTAATTCTGATAAAAGCACAGTAAGTCCTAATGTCAGTGATTTGTCTAATAGAAATATCTTGACCGCATTTAGTCACCATGTGAGTCTGTTGTTATCACATAAAAATCAGGAAATCTTTAGGCACCTAGTTGATAGCAGGAGGCATTTCTCCTAGAGGAGAAATTATTCAATAGTATGGTTTCAGAAGCACCTGATTCCAAAAGATAGTTCCTTCACGATCTAGATACATACAGAGCTGGGAGGGTTGGCCTTATGAATTCTGTGTTGTAGAAGCATTTTAGGTACACTTCATACCAGTTCTAGCTCTCTTAGAAAAACAAAAGAACATCTCTTTCTCTGTAATTGGACAGAAGGAAGAAAAAATGGCTAATGACAGATTTATATTTTGAGGTCATGAGGAAGGAAGTGTAGGTGAAGCAGGAGAAGGTGAGGTCACTGTGCCTGTGTTTGGCCTGTTTGCCTTTGGATGCACTCTTTGCCCTCCCCTGTCATTCTGTGAATGGCAGGTTCAGTTTCCCAGGCTCCTTTTTCAGCTGACTTCTATCAGGGTTTAATTTTAGGTCACTGGAGGGAGAGCAGATGGTGAGAGAATGGGAGAAAGCAAGATAAGTTGTTTTGTCTTTCACTAGCTGCATCTTCTCTGAGAGTTTGTCTCCTGCAGGTGAACACAGCCTGCAGGCTTCAGTCATGCTGCTTCCTCCCCTGGTCCTTGCAGCCCAGGCACCATGGTTTCTGCCACGTTGTTAACCTTCTTCCAGATTCTCAGCACCTTGGGAGGAAAGGCCCATATGGTGGACATGACAGTGAGCTCTGCAGATAGGCCTCATGGTAGAACATCAAGAAGTCAAAGATTCTAAAACACCAGAGACAGCAACATGGAGATGCTCCATTATAGATTTGAGATTTTGTAATGCATTGGGCTGAGACCAATGATCTGAGAGAGGTTTAAAATAATCTACGGGTAGAATTGAGTGGTGCTGAAGATCAATGGATATGAGGAAGAAGAAAACTATGAGGTCAAGGGAATAAAGGACATAATTGTGGATGTGAGAGGTAAAGTCTTCAAATTAGAGGGTAAGGTCAGGGCAGCAAGGTTCTGTATAAAGTCAAAGCTGACCCATAAGGTTGTAGAGTATAGGGTAAACTGAGGTCCAAGAGCCTCTGAAACTAACTGGAATTCTGTGTGCCAAAGCAGATATGGTTTTTTTTTTTTCTTATCAAGAAGTTCCAGATTTTCAAAAGCATTCACAACTCCCAAGACATCAGAAATCACTGCTAAGAGTAGCCATGTAAGCCATATTGGCAGTCAGGAAGGAATATCAAGTTTGTCACAAAGGGCCCTTAAGAAAGAAAGAAGAGAGTAGAATAACTTCCTTATGTACATTTCAAAAGGAGATTGTTATGATCGGTAATCTCAATGGCTTCCAAAACATCAGATAAGAAACAAGGAGTTAATTCCTAAAGATTAGATCAGGCCAGCAACTCCTGAACCCACTTGTCAGTCAGGTCCAAAAAAAGTGAGAGATTATGTGTCTCGTGGCTAATATGAAGCGCTGTCAATAAAATATTTTTGCCAAAATAATCTAAGTTGAACCTCTAGATCTAACTCCTTACTCGCAGAAAACAACAGGGAGCAGAGAGACATGCTGATCCACCATTGGAGAGCAATCACCAAATCCAGGATGGGGGAGGCTCTGCAGGACAAGTGACCCAGCTTTTTTCAACAAAAAAGTGTCAGGAATTTTTTTTTTAAAGGTGGGGAACTATTATAGATTTAGGAAGACTTAAGGGTCATAGAAACCAAATACGATGTGTTGTATTTGTACCTTGACTCGAACAAAACAAATTAAAAAGACATTGATTGGACAATTGGGGAAATTTGAGTAGTGACAGTATATATTTGGTGATATTTAGGTATTCCATGGTATTATGGATGTATTTTTTAAAATTATCTCTTAGGGATAAATATTGAACTATTTACAGATGAAACAATAAGACATCCTAGAGTTGCTGTGAAATAATTCAGTGTTAGTGACAGTGGGGAAGGGGACTACAGGTATAGATGAATCAAGATTGGTCGTAAATTAATCATTGTTGAAGCTGGGGGTTCACTGTATTTCTCTCTCTACATTTGTGTATATTTGAAGTTTTCCATAATTACTTATGTAATTAACCAAAATTAATGGTTAAAAAGTAAGAGTAGATTATAGTAAGCATTGACGTAGAAATAGCAATGTGGGACAAGACATAAAGCTTTACTGGATAAGGCCATGGGAAATGCGAGGAGGAAAAAAGGGAAACTGAGGGCAAGGAGTTCCCTGGAGGACTGTGGAGGGAAGTAGCAGAAGGTCCACGGAGGAGAAAACCTGGTGGAGGTGGTGAACTGGTTGGTGAGGGGCTAGAGCCTGGGAGGAGAAGGGATTCTCATGGAAGGAGGAAGGTGGCTTGAAGCAGCAAAGAAGGAGCACCTCCATCAGACTGATAGGGGTAGGCTCAAAGGCCATCAGAGGCCAGCTCTCTCTGATGGAGACTGTGCTGCATCTACAGAAGAAACACACTGGCTTTCCTGGGGCCCAGAAGCATCATTGCCTCACCTCTGGGGCCTGTTGGTTTTTCCACAATGCTCCAACCAAGGACCTTTGAAACCAGGAAGGTTGTTGTGCACCCTCCTCAACACACGGAACAAAAGAAGGCGATGTGGGGCGCAGTGGCCGGAATGTAAAGCATGTGGTGCTAGCACTGCCGGCCATTCGTCCTGACTGAACTCCCACTGCGGGCACAGCCAGCTGGAGGCCCTGGGGAGCAAGTTACACAGCATGAGGAGGATCAACAGCCCTAGCACGGAGGAATTTAAAATGGAGCCGTTCCAGAAGGGAATTTCCTCCATTCTTGCCCCAGGGAGAGAGAGAGAGGAACTTTACCCATTTACCCAGCTGACTCAGAGGGCAGCAGAACCATCCTTTCCTCCTCCTCTTTCCTTTGAAACCTTTCAGAGACAGCAAGCTCCACTGAGAAATGTTGCAGATACCAGCCTTAGGGCCCGGGGACCAGAAGTCTCCAGGTCCTCTGTATCTGCCACAGAATCACTAAGGTGCCACTACCTTGGCCCAGGGAGATGAGGGAGCCAGGAAAATGGGAACATTTATTTAAAATAGCAAATGTCAGCTAGTGGGGCAGATGTCAGGGGTTGTGAGGGGAAGGGGACTGAGGGAAGGGTGCAGTTAGTCATCACACCTGCTCCTCAGCTGGTGGGCAGGCACAGAAAGGAAAGTGAGAGGAAACAGGAGGGGGCAGGGGTTAAAAATGGTTGAGAAGCACTGCTTTGCGGGGTTCTTCATTAAACAACTTCCTGGAAACAGTGATCTGGGTATAACGTATGAGTTGGGGTTGGGGCAGTGCTAAGGGGAAGGTGGCAGTGCACACAGGCCAATAAAGCCTGTGCAGGGTACAAAGGCATGTGAGGTGCTCAGACAGGCCTACACCCACATTTCGGGGTGACATTGCAGAGTTGGTTGGAATGGGAAATAGAGATGATGGTTGCCCAGGATGCAGAACAAGGGGAGGCTGGGTCAGGAGGCTGTAGCAGCTCCATTCAGAGCTTGTTGACTCCACACCTATGAAAGCCCCTATTTCTAGATGCTAGTAATCATATTACTACTGCAAAATTAAAGCAAAGCAAAACAAAATCAATACCACCCTTCTTCTGAAGCCCAAGAACTGCATCCTGTCAGGTCAAACCTCACCTGGGCCCTTCTCTAGTGTCAGTACTGGGAGTCAGTAAACCCCTATTTTAGGGGAAAAGACTCTATCCTCCAGAGCATCTGAACTGCCTGGTGGGCTACTGGATTCCTCATCACAGTGCCGTCAACATGAGCAGTCCGTAAACATAGGGTTCATTTATGTTTTCAATAATAATTCAAGTGCATACCTTGTGGGTGGTCCAGAATCTCCTTCCTTAGGGTCCCGTGGAACAGTTGTCTAGGAACCGAAGGGAGCTTCACCAGTTGGGCTGGTGGGGAGGCTGGAGCACGGTCAGCCCTGCTGAGTATTTCTTGCTGCCACACAGCCCTGTTGAGGAAACTTGGTCGTGTTTGTGCTTAGACACACATCCAGTGGTATGCCAGACCCGGGCCCCAGGGTGGCTGACATGGGGCTCCAGGGTTGGGCTATGAAGTTAAAACATGC